GTATCAGTTCTAATCAGAGTATAGAACATCAGATACACTCTGAATTCTAACAATTGAAGCAGAGTTAGTTTCACTATTTTTACTTAACAGAGTTTGGCAACTCTGGAGGAAAAAGCCACAAGAACTGGAAATAAATTGGAGATTAATTTCCTAAGTTTTCAAATGTGTGTTGAAAGTGACACAAGTTTAGGCTGTGCCCTAACTTGAACCTTGCATAACTCCCTACTAGGAGTATGGAATGGAGTTTGGATTGCGTCTGGTTATCTCAAAACAGCCTGTGATGTGTCAAGAGTTTGACAGCCAAAATGCTCACTGAAGCCCACAGATTTATGCACTACTCGTGTATTTATTCACCACTGATCTTACTTCCGTATTATTTCTGGTTCAAAAGCAGCACCTTATGGAAAAAGCTAAACATGTGCTTAACCTTTAAAAACCAAACCCAACAACTTGCACTAGGTAAGAAAAAAATAGCCGCAGTCAACTTTTTTCCATATCAAGAGATGCTCTTGGCAGTATGCTTTTAGGACACTAGGTGAACATTCTGGACTTCAATCTTACTCCATGCTTGTCATTATTTTTTTCCCAATCTCAATACTTAAAAAAAAAGTAAACCTGCATCTCTAGCACCGAGTCTGAAAATAAATTCTACTTATTAGAGAAGTACCAGAGGCATGAGGACCCAGACGTTTTGGAGTAAGATCTGCAACGTCAATGTTTGTTGCTTATACTATCAGAGAGAACAGGTAGCCCTTCATAACCACACTAGAGTTTGAAGTAATTCACCTTAAGAATTTTCCTTCCCAATCTTCTTCCACCCAAAATTTATCTTCCCCCAATTATAAGGCATCTCTGCTTTAGGAAGAGCCTTAAAGTGCTCTGCAGTTAGAATTAAAAGCCTCAGAAAGTAGTTCTTGCATACTTAATGCCAAGTATAAACTTAAAACTAAGTCCTCTGGAATATACACTAATTTAGTAAGCAATAGCTTCTGGGAACTCCATGTGTATTTTTTAGCTGTTGAGTACTTACAAATATAATAACAGATGACAAGAACCATCATTCAGCACTTCAGGGAAAAGAGGAACTACCTGTGACTCCAGTTTGGTCACTTAAGGATTTAATGAATGAATGGTCATTTGTTGCAGTTATAGAAAGTCAGATATGCTGTATCTAAAATAGAACATGTTAGAGAGGAAAATACAATGGAAGTGAACAAACCTCATTTCCGTTCCCAAATGCCCTCCTTTAAAAATAAATTATTTGCAATTCATTTATCCCAATTTGTCAGACTAGACTTCATACAAAACTTCTAAGAACTAAGGCCATGCTGTTTTAAGTTTCTCTTAAAAATGTTAAATGCCTTAAAAACAAGGCAAACAAAAACTCAACTAAAACAAAGGACATCTTAAAGATAGTCACTAGTTACAAAGTTAGAGTGCTTCCTCCGATAAACTTAGGCTTTTATAGCAGCGCAATAATCCATTTTAAGACAGGCAAACTGAAAAGCCATTTAAGGCAGCATCTGGATTTTTTTTTTCAGTTCATCAATTCTAAGAAACAAACAGTGCAGCTTAGTAACCCTTATACACTACAGTTCTGAGAACTATGCCCATCAGAGGTCTGCAAGCAAATTTAAGGCATACGTCCCAAACCTGTGACCCCAACTTCATCCCAAAGAGTTCCTGTTGATTGTACTACAGCATCTTTTCCACCATCTCTCATCAAGTGGACATGGAAGAAAGTCTTCCCAACATATACAGTTAAGAAATTAAGGTCTGCAGCGTCTCTAAGCAAACATGGACTACAGTGCCTGCTAGTATACCTGCAAAATTTTAGTGTAGCATTTACATTCAATTTGTTAGCTACAAGGCGTAAGGACCAATAATTGCTCATACAGTGTTCGGCAGTATCTGTTTGCATACTGATCCAAGAGACACGTAAGACAGTAGGTTATCTACCACTTGAGGGACAATCTAATTCAGGTTACTCCCTGCAGTTTCTCCCCATTACTTCAAGTCAAATAAAGCAGCATCCCTTTTGTCTCTTGACAGATCAATCAAAGAAAGTATCTTTCAGGAACTTTATTTTAGAAGGCCTCGAGGCAGTTTGAACAGTCTATATAATGTTATAGACAGTCAAAGTCTACAAATAGCCTCAGGAGCCAGAATAAAAAGCAGTACTGTAAACCATTACTGCACTGTCTTTGTGTACACTAAGCCGACCAGGTTATCTTTAATGGGTTCAAAACTACTGAAAATACCAAATGATTTTGGAAGTGGTTCAATGTTACTTATTCTCAGACAACTCTTGCAATGTAAAGAGGCAAATATATTCCATCACTTCCCCCGAACTGCAATGCCAGCCTATCTATTCCTGCAATGAAGAGTTACCTCTGTGTCAGGCCCACGTATAGCTACTTCAAATTAACAAAGCTGTTACAGCATTAAATACAAATATTTTGTAATGGAAGACCTGTAGAAAGTTGCTCAAAATTAGATATCAGCATAGGGGAGAAACCTATCACCTGGTTATTTATGCCACTCGGTTGAAAGATATTTGCCTGGACACACAAATGTCATTGGCGCTTCGCCTAGAATTCCATACCCAGATATGTATCCTAGCATGAAGTGCTCTGTCACTTCCCTACATGGTCATCTTTTTGCAAACACCATGTCAAAGGCCATCACAGTACTCTTACACTTGAGGCACAGGCATGCACAGAGTCTCTCTCACCTCCAGGTCTTGACACTAACACTGGTACATAGTGTATTGCTCTTCTCTACTTGCTTGGTAGCTTTTCTGAGTTTGATTACAATTAAAATTTCATCATTGTCTATCTACAAGTTAGAATTTCTTGTTCAGTATCAGAGTTCATATTACACTGCAGCACTAATTTCTGTATTAAACATCCACATGACTTACACTTACCTTCACTCGAAGCTGCAGTTAACTATAGTGGCCAATGTAAGAAAAATATGGTGAGTGCTTAAGACTAGTGTTGGACTACCAGATACTGTTCGACAAGTAGATTTTAAAATAATGCAATAGGAACCCTATGAAAAATAGGCTACTATGTTGTTAGAAGACAGCCTAGTGTTATAGGTATGCCAGTCAGCAGTTTATTTCCAATTCATTTCTCTCCTTCAGATATAGGCCTTTGAAAGAAATGGCACAAGTAATTGTTTTTATTGATACTGACAATATACAGCAAGGTACGTAAAAGCCCACACATCCCCCAGGTGTTTCATATACAAATTTAGCTTTGTCTTTTTCTGTAAGATGAAAATGCAATCTCTACCTCTTCCAAAATAGTGAAGAATCAAGCAGAAAACTTTCTGTGCTCTAGACACCTGGCAGAGCAGCAAAATCCAGCATTTTTTCCTTAGTGAGGTATCCCAAACCAGTACACAATACATAGTCAACTTGCAATTCTACCAATACTGCTTTAAAGCACCAAAAAACACAACCCCAATGTATTCCCATGATACAAACTGCTTCCAAAACTACCATTCTATTGCTGACACTTAAAAACAGGATAAAGATTTGGACTAGACACCTACTGCAGAATCTGCAATTTATACAGTTCTGTTTGCCTCAAAAGGACGCAGAAAACATCAGCTGCTGAAACAAAATCTCATTGCAGAACTCACAGATTTGACTGTACAGTGCAGCAGTAGTGAGTCAAAACAGCAGAGTAAGTGACAAGGTATCGTAATTCACCCTTTATTTCAGTTATCAGCACTTTGTATTGTACTTGTTCTTCACCATCAGATGCTAAGAGGGAACTAGCTTCAGCCTTCATGAGATTCACACTCTGAATTACCCTAGCCAGGGCTGCTGCAAGCTGAATCATCCTATGCACAAAACGGAGGCTTGAGACAGGGCTCCACGAACATTAAAGTTTCTCAAGGAATAAAAGCTGGGCAAACAGCCAACACCAACTTCGTTTTGAGTGCATACTCTCTCTGCCTGATAATTAAAATAGAAGGATAGCGAAGTTTACGGGTATATATTTATCTCCTCTTGAGACAGCTACCACCTCTAAAAGCAAAGTGACACTAGTGGAAAGAAAGTTTGATGTACACCCTAAGTTGTTCCCAAAGGAACAATCACTCAGTTAACAGTTGATAATGACCTACAAAATATGGGTATGCAATCACTCCTGACACTGAACAAGAATCACCTAGTTTTATCTGGGAAGGAACAGGAAACGTTGAAGTCACTGACAGGTCCAGTTTAGAATGAGTTATTGGTATGGCATTAACGCCAAAATGAAGGAATTTTAGCTGTTAGTACATGATACTTCTATTTTTGCACTCCTCCCAAATAAAGATACCCCTTTTAGGACAAATCTAAGTGATTAGAAAGCTCGATGCTAAAGTCAAATCTTTAAAGACTGATACTTCAAATGCTTACACCGGAGAAATACGAAGCTCTACTTTATATAGTTATCTCTACATCTGCAGTCTCTTATACAGCAACAGGCAAAAGAAGCAATAAGAAATTATGAAAGATGAGAAAACAATGATGTCACATGCCAGTCATACTAGCTGAGAGGAGAGAGGAAGACCTCTGTGAAGTTGAAAGGCACTGCGACTATGGAAGTCAAAGAGTTGGAAAAAACCTTCAGATGAATTTATCTTTCCTTAGATAAAGAACAGAGCATGACAAAAAAAAAAAAAAAGACTGCACTCCAGAACCTAAGGAAACTGAACAAAGACAATAAAATTTTAGAGTCGTGACAAGTGTTAAAACCTGTACTCCAATTAAGGTTGCTTTTAGACCTACCAATTAAACTAAGTGGCAATTTGAAAAACAATCCCCTCAGTGCAAATGCACATTTAAGGTAATTACAGATGAACAGAAGCAAGATCGTTCATAAGTGAAGCATATACTTAGGCATCATTGAAAACTCCCCCCAGGGCCTCAAATCATTAAGACAAGGCCCCCACAACAATTTTACAATAATATGTGTATGTACTACACAGATGAATCTTACCTGCCACTTCTACAATGTCACCTGGGACAATGTCTCTTGCTTTAATCCTCTGTACGCTTTTTCGGTCTTGTCGATACACTTTGCCCATTTCTGGTTCATATTCTTTAAGAGCTTCAATAGCATTTTCAGCATTTCTTTCCTAAAAGACAGCAAAAATGTGTAATTTTAGAAGCCCTCAAGCCCTCAAGGAAAAAACACGTATGTCAAATCTGACCGTTCAAATGCACTATCATACGAATACTCTGCTCAGCTACATTTATGAATACAGAAAATTATGTGACTCCTCCCCTTATGAGGTTGCTGACTGGAAACCATTACATCATAATTCAGATACTAGTGGGCATTTAGAACCTAGAAGTTGTTTATTCAAACCCTGCAGCATTTCCCATCAACAATATCCACTGTGTCTTGTTACAGGGAGGCCACACAGAGTTCTGTGTAACAAAATACAAAATAGTGCTTGATACAAAAAAAGCACTAAGCAGAATTAAGACTCATGAATATAGTTTTGTCATAGCTGTACCTTACAAGCTGGAGCAGCTTAGACTCAGACTGGAGTGGACTAACACTACTGAATTTCACTTACTGAGAGAAATCAAGGATCAAGTTAAGACAAAGCTAGAACAGCATATTAACAACTTCATTTCAGCAAATCAAGTCACACTAAAGTGAAATTAAAGCATACGGTCTAGAAGCTTCCCCAGAGCTCTTAACAATTTACAAACTTAGATGAATCTCACATGACAACCTTTTTATTTCCACTAACACTAGCACAATAGCTTTCCTATCTCAAGTGCAGTTCTCTCAGCTAAGCACTACCAGAGATTGATATCAACATCGTGATGCCACCTAGATAAAGAACCACATAAGAAACCAACAGCTTATCAATACTCCTCCTCTAGCTCTTGGAGAAGTAACTTATTTTCCATTTTCCAGCCTACTGACAAGTACAAACGACATATAGTCCTGATGATTATAAGGGTACACATAGTTTTTAGAATATTTGCCCTTCAAATGTATACCAGTCTTTCCAGATGATAAAACTTCCTCCTGCATGTATCAAAGTAGAAACCTGATCTTCAGAAAATCAAGGTTGAGGTACTAGGTACTTCCACAAAACAATGCAGCTGAAAATCAGTATTACCAAAACTACCTTGAAGGACTAACATTTGCATGGTACAGTTCAGTGCAAGGCAGTGCAGAGACACCAGCACAGACCTATGAAGCTATAGGTAATACTAGCCTCATATTCCACCAGGTAAATTAATTCTGTTCCTTAGCACAATAATGCTGACAGTGCTTTTCTGTGGATTAACTAGGAGTTAACACCGGGTAAAACGCTAAAGGTACAAAAGAAAGCCCCACAAACGGGACGTTAGTTAAATGTAACTTTTCCTTCGAAAAGGAGAAATAAGAAAGAATTAAACATGATTCAGCTAGGACAACCAGCTCAGCGTTAGACTATATCTCTTTGTTCCCAGTTAGCTTTAAGTTATGGTAGGTAGACTATCTTGCCAACCGTTCCAAGTACTAGCAGATGGCACTTTGGGAAAAGTGCATCTAAGAGGAAAGGTTGAGGAGGGCAGAGCTAAGGCAATGACTCAGTTGCTCACATCTAGTACCTGTAGAAACAGATACATTTATGGGTGGAGATTATGTACTGTGATTTATTTTCCATGCCCATTAAAACAAGGGAATGAGTCATTTAATCTCTACAGTAATTCTGTTTCACAATTAAGTTCACTGCATGTAGAGAGAGAGATATATGTATTCTTTGCACACTATCACATCTGAAAAAATGGTTTATTTCCTACAACAGGATATACAACTACACAAGAAAATCCCCAAACTATACAGATAGCTTTACTTTACATTTCATGGTTAAAAGTAGTACATGCAGAACTAGCTCAAAAGTTTTAAGTTAAAGATTAATTCTTGCACAATTTCTTTATGAAGATTTGAAGAGAAAATGACAGTGAAGGGGGCAATGCTGTCATCCTTTGATTGACATTACCTCTTCCCTCTGTACCAGCTCTAGCAGTTGCATAGCAAGCTGGGTACTGATAAAAACTGAATTTTTCGAGGCTTAGTCTTCAGCCAGCTTACTTGGGCTAGCACAAAGCAGAGTGCAGGAATGTGCAGCAATGCCATTCAATTTCTGGTGGCCTCCAACATGTAGGCTTCTCTATAACATGTTTCCACCTGTTAAGAGGGCTCGTCCTCTTAATTTTTGCTATTTTGAACAGGTTTGCCTTTTTTTTTTTTTTAAAGCCTGAAATCTAACATGCTTAGATAGCAAGTAATTGTGTCACATTAACACCATCCCTTAAAAAAAAAAAAAAAACAAACAACAAAACAAAGCCAACCTTACAAAGAAAAATTACCCTAAAAATCTACAATGCTTTTCATCTGCAGAAAAACAATTCTAATAAAACATGCCTTCCTGAACTGATCAAATTAGTAAACTAAAGTTATAAGAAGAATTTTAGTTTGGCATCTCAAGAAGTGTTAGAATATGTCACGAATATTACTGCCAATACAATTTATAAAAAGCCATCTAATTAATCTCACAGCTGATAATGTAGGAAATATTTCATGACATTTAGGTGTTTGCAGAAGAAACTTCTGCATTTTGACAGGCAGTCTTCACATGTACACTTAATGGGTACTACAGTAATTGAATAGGAAGAATTAATACTGTATTAAACATATTAATAGATGTACTAAAACATAGCATTTGTCTCAAGAGGAAACAGACAAACTAGATTACAAGTGTTCCATTCTTTGTTCCTTAGTTGGGACAAAACTCCTTTTTTTGCAAGCTGATGCAATTGATTGTTTCTCAGCTTTGCAAGATTTGACTTATTTCCCAAATTCATGCCTTCATTCTGGACTGCCTAATTCATATGTTTACCAGCATAAGGGCAAACACCACTGATGGGCACTTTGCCTTTTTGGCAATACTTCTGAATCTTTTATTTTACCTTTTAAGTCAACACTTTCTGTTCAGGAGTTTTATGGTATGTTGACTCTCAGGAATCTAAGGTTAGCAACACATATTACTTGCACTGTATGAAGCATCTGTGTTACACTATACAGTTCTTCCTCTTAAGCCAAAAAACACCCAAAACATTTGTGACTTGATGTAAAAATATCTGCATACCTGCCACACTCCCACAATTGCATTGGCTACCAATATAAGTAAGATCACAAAAGGCTCTACAAATGCTGTGATTGTTTCTTCACCTTCTTCAAACCAGGCCAGGACCTGCAAGAGAAACACAGTGATTTAAATTACCGATTTACACAGACACCTTGCAATCTTAAGACCCAGTAAGTTTCAGCTTGAGGTTCAACTAGTTAGACCTGAGCAATTTTTGAAACCCCTCAACCTTCCAAGGTGTAGTTTTGTAGTTCATGAATGAGTTGGCAATAAGCAATGGAAAAGAAGAAAATATTTACTGAAGTAGTACAAAGTTCATTTCCAAGGCTGCTCTTCTTTTAAAGGAGCAAATTATTTATTTGGGAAACATATTTACTTTTGCTTCACAAATGAAAGCAAAACTTGTGACAACAGCTACAGCAGTGAAAAGTTTCAGAAAATTTTTCATTACTATCTAAAACAGGATGTAGACAGATTAGTTTGATTACTCAGAACACTAAAGCTTTGCCAGAATCTGAATTTTAACCAAGTTAATTGTTCTTTGCCAATACCTTAGACACACAAATGAAAACAGCTTTACAAGTTTTCAGTGAGTAGATGTGAAAAATAAGCATCTACTTATTTAAATGCAAGTAGTGTCTTACTGAAGCATCTAAGTGAATTATACAGTTACATCTGAAGTTGCATTCTGAGCTGAGTAGCTGATAAAACTCAAAACTGAATTTTTATGAGTAAATCAATTTGAGGACTTGCTCAAAAGGCTCCATATAGATTTTACTTAAATCCATTTGCTTCAGAATTACACTCTAGTTTTAGGCTTCTGCCATTCACTTGAATTGAACTGGTGTATGTCAGGGCCTCTGCAGAGTTCTGTAGTTACTGAAGAAAAGTCAAGCTAACATGACCAGAGAGGAAGAGCTTTTTCGTCAACATGTTGAGCAACAGGAAGCCTGGAAAGTGACAGTAAATAGGAACAACGCATTGAGATAATTAGAGCTGGTAGTCAGGCAACAGCACTCTGAATCACTGGAAGACTGCAGCGAGCAAACCGTTACTAAAGCAATCACTGTAACTCCACCAACATGCTGCTCAGAGCTATTGCTCAATTGTGAAACACTCCAGGATGTTAAAAGGAAGGAGCAACGGCAGGAAAGCCTCAAGCAGAAAACAGACTGTCAAGCAAATCCAATGCAACAACAAATTTTATTACAAAAGGATAAACTTATAAGATCCAGGTTATGATTAGTAAGTCTGAAACATTCCAACTGGCAACACAACATTTTGAGGGTCTGTGTAATCTCTCTGGAGAAGAGACTTGGTTAGGATCTCTTACAGTCTCTACATCTCAGTATTTCTTCCCTCCCGCCATGTGGGAGGGAAGAAATACTCATCTCCAGTACCCAGTGACAACTTCTGCTATTTGACCTGTTAGAGCCATCATACAGTCTACATTGTGGTCTTCACTCCACACGTTACCCCTTGTATCATGGACATCTTTTATTCTGCACCAGCACTGCTGCCTCCAGTGGAACTACAAAAATGGCTAATGGTATATCTCCATTTTTCTTAGCGTATATGTGGTCGCACGCTGCCATCAGAAAAGCTGCTTAGTATGTGCTTCTTCCCTCCCTTTCTTTACTGGAATCCTGTAGAGTCCACTTTGCTTCCAACAAAGCAAGTAAATTCAATCATTTTGTGATGTCCTTAACAGAGCAGGCACCTACAAGGTTAACTGGAATAAAACGTGCTTTACACAATGCTAACCCGTAATCTTTTCAGATTGAAGGCCACGTGTGTTGTAAAATAACATTGAGAAAGACTGCAACTTTAAGAGGTAAGGAAAGTAGCTACAAGGACAGCAAGATCCAGGTATGTCAAGGAGAACCAAAATTAAGTTTTCAAGGAATCCTTTCTTTCGATACACCGTTACTTCAAAAAGAGCAGATGAACTCAGATTAGAGATCCTAACAGTACAGATCTGATGTTTTAGATCTTCACTGCTGTCTTTTGGGAAAAATTACCAATCTGTGACTAGATTAAAATGAAGTATCTAGTTAATCCTGGAAGCTGGCAACACCCATTTCTCCCCAAAAACATTTCCACATGATTACTAGGAGTATAACAGATGTAAGCTCTAGTTCTAGAACGTTAGTAGATAAAGACATGTAAGTAACAGAATACATTGCAAGTTCTTGGTTTTGCTATAGCAGACTGCAGCTATATTAACACTCCATTTAGGACACCTGTGATACACAACACATGCTGTAACAGATCAGGTTTATTATTTGATAGTAGCCTGAAGTAAAAAAAAAGCACAGTAAAAAAACAAAGAGAAAGTATAACAAGGAATACAAGTATTTCACTAGGCATTTTTAGTAGCAACAAATCATATGCTGAAGCCTGGTAGAGACTAGACAATTCTTGTCCAAGGCATTTAGCCCTTGTCAAAAAGTTTCCCCTAGCACACTGTTAAGACCTTGGAGAGGTTTACGACGAGAGATCTTTTATTTGACTACTACTCAAAAGGGCCCCACCATATTTCAGCCCTAATCAGTTTAAGACTCACATGTAGAACAGCTTAATTTCCAGGTCATTGATCTCCAGTGTACTATTCAGGCAGTATGGCCAATAAGTAAAGTTACTATGTATTTAAGAAGCTTAAAAGAGCAGGGAGAAAAAAAAAATAATTGCTCAAGAGAAATGCAAGTGTGAAAATATAAGGAAAATTAATAGCAAGACATAAAAGTCTCGTATTAACAGTCAATGTAAGCAGCTTAAAGGACAACTTTCATTCGGCATATTTGCTTTACAGCTGCTAAGAGCTATGGCTTGCAGAAGCCTATTTTAATCAAAGCCTGATGGGGTGGACCTGCAGGACGCTAAGTCAAAAAATACACAGTGACAGACAAATAGGACTTAGTTTTCATGGTTATTTGTAAAAAGGGGGCAGAGGTACAATACAGAAGTCAGACAGCAATGGAGTGACTACCGGTGAAAACAGTTAAAAGAACAGAAATGTCCTTACAGCTTTTTGCATTTCTACAAGTTAATTATCTCTGTATTGTAAGGTAAGTTACGGAGGCAAGTGGTCTCAAGTGACTATTTATCATTAAACAACAAAACCAGAATTACAGAGTAAAGAATGGAAGTTTCAAGATAGAATTTTGTTGCCCAGCAGGCTGTACACGCTTACCATTAACAGAGGAAAAGCAAACAGTTTGTTGTCAGCAACCTAACAAGGTTTTTTGTTTGTTTTTCATTTTGACAATGGAAACTTAGAAGCAAGCTGGGAGAGTAAGATCTCATCCTAACAAAAAGCAGCCCTGGACTAATTAAAGCAGGCCATGTAAAACTACGGACTACTTTTCAGCCCGCTTTCTTCTCACAGGATACTGTGAATTAAGATTTAATACATTTTGGACAGAGTACTAACTCAGAAAACCCTCTTTTAGTGATTTCTCTTTTCAATAAAACGTATTGTAAAATTACTTAATTTTAGTAGTCCTGATACTTGTTCCATGTCAGTTATACTGAACACCAGGAAACACTGAAGAAAAACCTTCCAATTTTAATTCCATTATTCAATATTTATTTTTTTTTATTTGCTACCCAAGGACAGGGGAGGAAAAAAACCCAACCAAAACCCCAAAACAGATCTTGACCACACATAAAAGCACAAAATTAAGAATTTTACTGAGTTAGCAGATTGTTAGCACTCAGATATGCTAGTCCACATTTCTGAAAATAAACACATTTCTCTGTTTAGTGTAGCAATAAGGAAAAAAAGATACATAGCACCCACAGTTTAATTTCTACACAGTAAAATGGAATCACAATTACTTCTTACAGTTTTATCACCCCTATCCATCAGTTTGTATCTTCGGTGCTATTGAGTAATCAGAGTTCAGCTAAAAGCATACCAGTGTAATGTTCTACAGCAATCCTTATCTTGTGCCACATACTCATTGCTACTGACCCCAACAGGTAGCTTTTGGGAGGATTTCAGGGCAAAGCCTGCAACATTTTTACTTGCACATCTTACTTCCTCCAAGAGTAGCTTTGCTTACCCTTTAACACAGATTACGTTATGCTCATGCTAATTTACAGGCTGTTACAATCTCTGGACTAAATCACAACACATTGTTTTAATCTAAATGTGGATATCTGCTAGTAGAAAACATTCCCAGAACATTCATTTCTAAGTCAGCTTAAGAATCAAAGTAATAATTGGAGGGGTGTGCTCTTAGGATGTTGAATTAATACTTAAGTTTTTGGTAGAGTTTATAATCTATGCTGCAAGATCTATAATCTTGTAGAAGAAAATTCACTGTTAAGTGTGATGCAAAGATAAGATTGCATGGTTAAGCATACATCACTGTTTAAAGCATATATGATTTACCAAAGAATTATTCTACATTAGATGCACAGTTAACATCCTGCAACTTGTCAAAGCCATTTATACAGCAAAGCTTTTATGTAAATACTGTAGATCGGAGTACATGCTACCAAAGTCGCAAGAATTAAAAGCCACAGTTCATGGAAAATTAAACATCCTCTTTCCTGCACCCAGGAAGTCAGGCTATGAAGGCCCCTGAACTACTGAGATACACTCTACAGGTTTATTTCTGCATAGGCTTCACAGATTCAACAGAATGCCAAGACAAGGTCCAAGGCTATACGTAGATCCATTTACTCCCCATCAGAAATTATTTCTATGGTTTCTCTTCAAAAGTCATACTTAGGGCCAGTAAAAATACTGAAAAAGGAACAGTGTAAGAATTTAGGCTGTTACTAACTAGTCACATCTGTAACAGCAGTTCTGATGTGGAATTGTTGTACCTACAGCCAACAAACAGGCAGCATATGACCCCTACAATCAGCTAGGGTGACACAGACTCAGCTGTTAGTCTGATTTATTTTACTGACACATACCTGACAAGGGCTGTGGGAGTAGAGGACACAAAAGGCACTTTGAACACGTAAGTTTATATCGTACATAAGGGGGAGATGTTTCTGAAAAAAAAAATCTACTGCAGATCTCAGTGTTAACAGACAGCTGTTTCTGTGTAGTCATGATAGTAAGAATCTAATATGATTTATGATCACAACACAATTACCAGAAAAACTTCCATGACACAAAACAATAATCTATATATACCTCAAGATGCCCTCTCACACCTGAATCTTCAGTTGTTTTTTTTTAAATTGACAGTGTACAGCTGGTGAAGAACTCTGCTACATTCACTGCCCGAACAGCACCTATGCTTTTCCTGGAAGAACACGTTATGAATCTGCTGCCACTAGCACAAAATACATACTCCATTTGATCTTCAGAAAACCCAAATTCAAAGTAGGGTAAGTTTTCAGTGACACACTAAAAAAACCCCAAACAAATACAAACAACAAAACAAAAAACCCTTAAAGCTATACATTCATGCCCAATTCCAACAGTCAGCACCTCCACTAGTAACTCAGAGACTTGGGGACTTTTGGGGTCGTTTGCTCTCGTCCTTGGTAAGCCATCTTTCCCATCTCTTGTCATTCAAAGCAAACTACTTATTTGAGCATCTTGACGAAAATTCCCTTTGGGACTTACACCAGGCCCAGAAGTCTTCAGCTGAAAGTTATTTCAAACAGGAGCCCATATCCAACCTTGCTTCTGTTGGTATGCTATATCATGTCCTTTCTACTTGAGTGCTAGAGTTTACGGTCTATCAAATAATAAATCATCATACAAAACAGTCACTGAAGCGAGAATCAGCACCAAGTTCCACAGTATGATTCTGTGGGATCTGACACTGCCCCCCAGAAAGCCAGAAGTCTTGACTCATTAAAAAGCAGATCTCAACAGTATTACTCAACATCCAAAACCAACGTAATTCAACTGACTCCATTTTAAGTCTGATTATCCATTTCCAGATGTCTAAGGTACTGGGAGTTTTGCATGCCTTGCAACAGTACAAATGGAAAAACTGAATTTCTAAGGCTTGTAAAAGATAGCATTATAAACACACTGAAGTTAAGCTCTAGCATTAAGTTGTTCTACCAGAAGAATGACTTAGCATAATTTATAAGATTAGCATTATGTACAATTCCAGTTTTTAATGTAATATTTTCAAGTGTTCTCATGGAACAATTACTGTCCACAAGCCTAACACAGCTACATACTCTATTCAAACATTTTCAGGCACACCACAATTTAGGTGATGTTAATTACATCCAATTTTTGCAGCAATACAGTCTTTCTATCAACATACTGAACAGTTTTTTACAGCTACTACAAAAATCTTTAGTATGCTTTCATCCAAAAAAAGTGTTAAAACCTAAGAAAAACACGTAACAGACGACGACCCTCTGAGCAAGGAAAAAGCCAGAAACAAACACAAAGGGGAAGTGCTTTTAAAGTACCAAAATTTTAATATATCTAGGTTTTTCTTTTACATTTCATTAAAAAGAGAAAATCTCTACTACTAACATAATTTATGGCCGGTGTCCATAACTCCTAAGTAAGAGACACAGAAAAGACAGCAGTAGCCCAAGGTCATATACCATTCCAGTTGCACAGTAGCAGAGATCCCAGATCTATCCCACACTCCATTAAGACTCCTCTTAATTAGATAGGAAAATTAAGCATACTGAAAAAAGAAACTGAATCCAGTTACTAATCAAGTTTTCAAAGAGGGCTTGGCAGTGCATACTATATGACCTCTGTCAGGCTGATATCATACTTAGATTCAGCAGTGAAAGCTTAAAGTTTGGTGAATTTGATTTTTTCACTTACTTGGTTATAACAACACCAAAAAATGCACCTTGACATGAAAGGCTAACAAATTTCTGTACTGTCATTCATCTCATGAGAGAAACACTCCCGACTTTTCAGGAACGAAAATACATCCCCTTCTCACCCTCTGGAAGGAGAAAATGGGAAAGAACAGCGGAAGAAAAAGCTTCTGAATGACCCATTTATTCAGTTTTCTATAGCGAGCCTGATTTCCTCCCCAAGAAACAGAAGAGCCAGTAAAGTGCATCTGTCTCCATGATCAAGATCAATGCTACCAATCATTGCTGAGCTGGTAATGGTATATGCATACTGAAACCCAAAGCAGTTGGGAAGAAGGTGTCAGTGTGGGAATAGATGAAGCCTCTCTTGGTGGCGGATCAGCAACATACTGCAGCAGCCACAACAACAGGACAACCCTTCCCTCATCAAACAGAACCGCTTCAGAGCACACTCTCCTCTGCCCATTGTAATTAGCTTGCCCTTAGCTAAATAGTCACCACAGTTCCACTCCCCCCAAGACCTGCAGCATTATTTTTTTTTTTTCCAAGTAGTTAATTACAACTCCAGGGCAAAGTCTACTACAAACTTTTACTCCTACCTGAACAATTTAATATTCTGCACACTTTTGTTTCCATTGTCTAGCTCCTCAAGACATACAGCCTTCATCTTTCTTCTATACTTAGCCTTTAGTCAGTTTTCCAGTTTCAGCAAACATATACTTGTTACACATTATGTAAAAAGATCGCCTAAACATGCTTTTTAAAAAAAATGAAGTTAAAAGTGTTCTTGCTCTTTTAACCCTGTATGCAAAGCAAGATGTCCATTTAATGACTAGACTATCCAAAGGTCAGTTACCAAATTTGGTCAACAATGGTGCCATCACTGCTGTCATCATTCTTGTCACTGTCAAAAGCAACAACTGTCACCTTGCTATTATCAGGAAGGGAAGGCAACTGCAATATTCGCCATGTAAATTCTATTTACAGTCTGCATTGCATCCAAAAATGTCTTCCAATGATTATACATTGAGCTTGATAACGATTAACTCAAAGGCAAGAAGAATGTCCAGTTAAACACTTACTTACTCAAGGTTAGTTTTCAAAGCCAACAAAAGCATTGGGAAATCCCACCTCAAATAAGCAAACTGGGCTGAATGAGCAGCACTTTTTAAAATACCCGTCTAGCGTAGTTACGTACTTATGACTCATGCAATGAGAGATACCCTGAAATTCTGTTTTCTGGCATACAAAAACCTCTTCACAAGGCAACTAGTTTAAGAGCTGGCAGTTTACTTTGCATCTTATACTTCTACCTTTTGAGCAAGAGAATAACTTCAGTATGTACTGTTACTACACATTGGAACATATGTCATTCTGCAATACAGAAGCCTATGAAATTAAAAAAAAAAATCATACTTACAAAAGATATGCAAGCTGCCAGCAACAAAATTCTAACTAGTAAGTCTTCAAATTGTTCAATCACAAGCTCGAGTAAGGTTTTTCCTGCAATATGTAACAAAGCCATTTAGTTATGCACATTTAAAAAAAAAAAGATGACTTCTCAACAGGGATTAACATAAGATTCCATGAACATGCTTACCTTCCTCAGCTGGTAACTCTGTCAGTGAAAGGTTTTTCCAGGAAGCATGTCAAAGAAAATAAATGGTTGAAGAAACACATTAGAGCATTATAAGGCATTCACCAGAGACTGTTCCTGAACTGCACACTCAACTGGGTTGTTATCTGACAGACATACTGAAAGGCCCATTAAGGTGGCTCTTTTCATTAGAGCATCTGAATAGGCCCGATAGTTTTTCATTTTAAGACACATACAGGTTAGCCAGAATGTACTAAGAGTTATGATTCAGCTAAGTCATCACTCCAGCCAGCTGTGTGGGACTTCTGCTGTTGCTGCACACAAAGGGTCAAAGGCTCAAAATGCTTTTCAAACGCTGACAAAGGTCCTTCCTCCAAATTCACTTAAAGAAAACCCGAACCACCTAACTTGGTTCAAAATACTTCAAATTCTTTCCTCCGTTTTAAGAGTATTTTCTTATTTCTGCTCTCCCTTTTATTTCCCCGCAACTAGATCTATTAATTCAAGAGGCACAAAAGCAGTGTTAAAGCTAAAAAAAACCCTCACCGTATAATCTTCCCATAGCTTTTCATTTTTACACAATGGCATGGGAGTTCAAAAGGGACTAGAAGGCCAAGCAAGGATTAATAAAAGAAACACCTTATCGGCTGAATTCTATGCCCCAACTCAAGGTAAGAACGTAAAATAAGGGACAGAAAAGCACTGAAAAGCAGGGAAAAATTAAGGTCAAGACGGGCAAAAAAATAAAACAACCCCAAGTGCTTCATTTCAGAATGGAAGAAGATTTCCCACCGTTAAGGTGAAAGGAAACGGAGGTGACATCCTCCTTCCCAAAGCAGCCCTGTGAGCTTGGGGTATGAAAGAAACCCACGAGGTGGAGTTCAAGTCAGCCATCTTCTCTCCCTCGCTCCTATTCCGGGTCCTGTAAGAGATGCCGGCTTCGCAAATACACGTCAGGCCTTGAAACAGGGCCCCGAAAAGGATGAGCGAAAAAAGAGAAAGGGGTGGAAAAGGGAGCAGAGGGGGGAAAAGACGACGAGTGCCAGCGACAGCATCCCCGCGGCGGAGGGAGGCGGGCGGCGTGGGGCCGGTTCACCTACCGTTGGAGCCCCATTTCTCCTTCAGCTTCTTCACTTGCTCCAGGCTGAGCCCGGTGCTTTCGTTGACGCCGAAATAAGCCAAAACTTCCTCCACAGTCTTTGTGTGCGCGTTCTCCATGGCTGGGGCAGGGAGCAGCAAATGGTGCCTCGCCTCTTCTTCCTCCTCCTCCTCAGCGGCGGCGGGCGCGGCGGCGAGCCCCCTCCTCAGCCC